TCTTCCATTGGATTGTTACGTAAGTATCGCTTAAACTTTAAAGGTTTTCTTTCCTTCAATTGTTACGTTGATATCTCGCGCACTTCCAGAATTCTCTTGCATTGGATTTCTGTTTTAAGACCCAGCACGCTTTTAGGATTCTTTTTCTTTGGAATTTTAAGCTAAATTCGCACGCGCTTTTAGAGCGACTTTTTTTCAATTCAAGTCCAGATTGAAATATCTGACTCGAGGTCGTGGGAAATTTCATAAAGCACTTGCTCAATTGGTTAATTAGATCTCTTCCATTATGCAAACCCCGGGGCAGAAAGCCTATACGTTGGGTCTGAGATGGTAATTAATAAGCTGCGATTTATAGTTGATAAAAAAGTAATATTGAATAGATAAATAATAATATAAATAATTATAATGATAATAATAATGGTAATAAACGAAATAATAAAAATTTGTGATTTTCTTCAGCCGGCATAGTATTATATCAGAGGAAAGATAAATCGCGGAGATATATGCCATGGTCAGTCAATCTGGAATGAAACGCTTCGGCAATACAGTGGATCAGAACATTGATAACAGAGGCATTTACAACTTATTCTTCTAGTGGGTCTTGAAATTATCAAATTAGTTAAGAAATATTGCTGATTCTTCGACTGCCAGTGTATTTCATAACTGCGAAACATCGAAAAATCCTTACTGACTCCTTTGTTATTATGATGATAAACTTAAGGTTTCCTTAGACAAACACCCACTTCTAAACAGACCAGTAAAGTATGCGTCAACGACACGACATCCTCTAGTTTCGTCCTCAAGTGTGAAAAGCTGAAAATGTGGATATTTTATTTAGTGATATACATTAAAATGCTATTTTGTAGATGCGCCAATCGCTTCAGCCTGATGACGTCATCCAAAATCAATGAGGATACGGAATGGTTCAATCTCAACTGACTTGGTAATCAATAAATAGTCATAAGATAAGCCTCTAATCTTTTTATTGCAGATATTAAATAGAGTGTCTTACATTATGTTAAATAAAACTTGTGTTTGAATAGTTTACAAAATTAAACGCTCATACGTGCTCTCATTTCGTCCAGTTTTTAAACAAGCATTCCATTTTGCCATAGCAAAATTGTTTCCGTCTTTCACAGCAAGTACCCTTTAAAATTACAACAATTGATTAAGTAAAGGTGATGAGAAAGAAATACACTGAGCCAACTTGAAACGACAATTCTTACATTGTTACGATTACTGCAAAACTGCGCTTGACGAAAAAACACTGTCCGAAGACGAAATGAAGAGTAAAGGAACAGCTTTAAATGCTTGAATGTGAACCAGGAGCATACCGCATTCAGCTGAAATACGGTGTGGACAATTATGACATCAAAATGTATTTGAAAAACATCAGAGCGGGTGAAGTAGTGCAGACATGTTCGACGTCCCAGTAAAAAAGCTGAGTCTTTATTTCACGCAACGTTGTGTTCTTTGAATATTGGGTCTGCCAGGAAAAAAGTGAATTTGTCGAAATTACAAAATTACAAAAATCTAGATGTTTAGCACAAAACGGCGCAGTTCAGCCAGCTTGCTTAAGAGCCTCTTTCATTTTTTTTCTGTTGTTGTCTGTTTTTGTCTTGCTTTGTTTTTGTTGTTTTTTATTGGTGAAAAATGTGCTGCACTTCTTTTCAGAACTAAAATTGTGTCAATCGGTTATTTCGATAATGAGGGAAAAAATCTGAGATCCGAGCTTAGTTAAAGAAATGAAAATGGAAAATAAAAACTTAGCTATGAAACCTTACTCCTAGGGAAGGCATTTGCCACCCAAATTATCGAATGATGGAAGCGCAAATTTTGTGTCAACCTTTTTTTCGTCATCTAAGCTATTTTGAAAGATGGTTTCGGCGGATTTATCGCACAAAATTGTTTCATAATACTTGGGTGATTTCTTTACGAAATAATTTCAGTTGACCGCTTCGATATAATAACGCCCCAAGGAATAGGAAAATGAATAAAGAAAGAAAAGATCCTTTTCGTCATCTAAGCTATTTTGAAAGATGGTTTGGCAGATTTATCACATAACGAGAGAAAAAGATGATGAAAATCACCTGGGCAACAAAATCATTACAAAATAATCAAATTGACAAATAAAACACAATGCTTTAGCTTCCCTTGTGCTATTGAAAACCCAGTTTGACGTGGTGAAATTCGTTCCTAAAAGGGAAAACTAAGATTTGTAACTGCTTCCGTTGAAGTTTAGTGTTATCGCTTCCGAGAAAAGCTGCGAAATATTTTCTGGTTAGGTTGACGATCCATGATTAGTTCTCTTTAGACAGAAAATTATAGTTAGCGTTTCAGTTCAAGATAAGACCCCGTGAGATCGTTTTTGAATAGAAGACAAGTTAGACTGTAACCCTCGATAAAGTAATCAAGACCCGCGAACGTTGGTAAGCCATAACTTGTTTTGTGATTATGTTATCTAGCTCGTAGTCGTTACTCAAAGCGAAATTTATCGCTCGTTTTTACCTTTAACTGCCACGTGCTGGTTTCCAAAATCGAGATTATTCTTAAGCTGTTATCAATACTTAGGTGATTTCTTTACGCAATAATTTCAGTTGACCGCTTCGATATAATAATGCCCCAAGGAATAGGAAAAGGAATAAAGAAAGAAAAGATCCTATTTGGTTTGGTGTTTATCGCATGTGCGTGTATCAACCCGGGAATCGAGTTTGCAACTCTAGCTTGAAAAGAAACATTCACAAGATTGACTAAAGAAAAAATGGGAAAGTGGTTTTCCACCTTCAAAGATATATTGATTCAATTATAATCCCGTAGATGCAAGAGTTCGCATTCCACGTTTACATCTCGTCCCTTCGGCTGCTAACATGGCTAAAGCATGATCACTTGATTACAACGACGTTTGTCCGTGGGGGCTTTAAATAACAAAAAGAATCTCAAAAAGACGCCGTGTATTTCCAGCCAGAGGACAATCATGAAAGAATAATAGCCAAAGGAGGAAAGGTTATAAGAAATTACAAGTTCAAACACGAGTTGAAAATGACTTTTCTTTTTTATTTTTACGCGAAACAGAGGAGGTTGAAAGGCTAGGGAAAAAATGGTGGGGCAAGCAGTCATACCTGGCAACTTCAAGAGAAGAAATAAGAGAAGCCCATACGATTCTGGCGTCTTGATTTACTAATTCACTGTTATCACGTGTACACTATCGACTGCTGATGTCTAAACTCGAAGTAGTTAAAAATTATCAGTCACGCTCAAAAGAGCATAATTTCAACTGATGCTGATATGGCACACTTCCTCCGAAGAAGAAAAGATTCTCTATCTTCGAAAATTTGCTAAAAACATTAGGAACAACAACGAAGGTCCTCAACTGCTTGAAGATACCGCTGAATAGCATGCGTTTTATCGCCAGTTGTGAGAACGTCGTCCCCAGGTTCCAGACCTCGTCAATTCTTCCCTTCCCTCCCCACACCTGGACTGTTCTCTTAATCCCCTCGAAGAAACTCTTCTACAACCAGTGCTGAAGAGTCTTAACACTTTTTTTTTTATCATAATGAGGGGCTAGAGAATAAAATAACAAGAACACCGCTTTTTTTTAGCCGGCATAGTATTATATCAGAGGAAAGATAAATCGCGGAGATATATGCCATGGTCAGTCAATCTGGCTTGAAACACTTCAGCAATACAGTGGAACAGAACATTGATAACAGAGGCATTTACAACTTATCCTTCTGTTGCATCTTGAAATTATCGAATCAGTTAAAAAAGTGTTGTTTCCTCGAGCGCTGGTGTATTTTATAACTGCAAAACATCGACAAATCCTAACTGACTCCTTTGTTATCCTGATGACAAACTCGAAGGTTCCCCTAGACAAACACACAGTACACAGTTCTAAACAGACCGATAAAGCATGCGTCAAAGACGCGACCAGCCATAGCTTCGTCCGTAAGTGTGAAACGTTGAGAATGTGGATGTCTCATTTAGTGATATACATGAAGATACTATTTCATAGATGCGGCCATCGCCTTAGTCTAATGACGTCATCCAAAAACTTAATGAGGATACGGAATGGTTTCAATCTAAACTGACTTGATAATCAATAAATAGTCATAAGATAAGCCTCTAATATTTTTATTGCAGATATTAAATAGAGTGTTTTACATTATCTTAAATACAACTTATTGTGTTTGGATAGTGTACAAAATTAAACGCTCATACGTGCTCTCATTTCGTCCAGTTTTTAAACAAGCATTCCATTTACCATAGTAAAATTGTTTCCGTCTACTACAGTATGAACCCTTTACAAGGCGTTTTTTTTTCTCATACGCATCGAAAACACTTAAGAAAATATTAATTTGAATTAACTCACACTCTAGTAAGACGGCTCTCTCCGTTTATGACAAAAGCATTTGATACTAGCAGCAAAACGGTAAATGTCAATAACAATGCTCTAGCTTGTTTTCAAATAAAGGTAACTTGAAAGTTAAACAAATCACTAGAAGTGATGAAATATGTAATTTAAAGAAGATACTTCGTTAAGTGATAAGTGCTAGTTAATACCTCACGACTAATTCATTACCAAACTACAAAATTTTACCAAATTTCATATCGGTTAGGAGATCTCTCACTAGGTCTGCCACAAACAAATTTACTAAATGGTTTTACAATACAACAATGAAAAGCTCGCCAATTACAGCTATCGGCATAAACGAGCCGTTTTTCAAATAGGTTTTTTTTTGTTTCTTCCTTTCTTTCTCTTCTGATTTAATCGATTACGGAAGTTTAATTCATATCTATCCAAATTTCCTTATTCTCAAACCGATTAAATTATTTCTTATTGTCATCCTTTAAGAATTAATTAATTGGTTTTTGTGCTTTTATTATTATTTTGTTAATAAAGGACAAAGCTTTCACATATTCTTTTAATATTGATACTGAGAGAAATTTAACTAACACAAACCTACACTTAGTTTAGCACGGAGAAGTGACGATTATGTAACCTAACGACGGTCACTGGCCCATTTTCCCAATCTCTTAGTGGAAGCCTTCTTTGCAACTTCCTCACTTGGTCCTGCATCTTCATTTCCGAGATCTTCAACCCGGGAGTATTTTGCCTTGTCATAAGCGCCCATGTCAAGAAGTTCCAAATATGTCTTAAAAGAAAGTAACAAATGAGGGTTACACATTAGCCCCAAAGCGCTAAAACACAGTAAAGTCAAGCTAAAAAGTGCGATCACTTCCTCGGCATACTGAGAATCTCTTTGGTTTAAAGTATAAATATACTAAGTGCATTCCTTATTTTCTCTCTGAAAATAGAGAAGTTGCAGGTAGGTGGGTAGAACTGAGCAGATTTATGCCCTAGGGACGATCACAACCGCCGTAGATATCAGAAGCAGCCAACGAGTGGAAATGCTCGTAAATGGCCTGACGGGCTGGAAAATGTCTCTTACCAGAATTATGAATGGTCTCAGCTGAAGCTTTTATGGAGCGAACGGAAATAAAACCAAGGCTACCAAGTATTGCTCCCAACACATGGAGGCAAGGTAAGAAGTTTGAAAAGTTTTCGAGTCTTTAAAATGCATAAAATATTGGGAAGTTATCAATTCTAGAAACGAACCTCTCCACGAATGTATGTGTCCATTCTTTGTCGCAGGTTTTCAAAAGGAGGACGGAAGTCAGGGTTACGATTCCAGCACCTTTTCATGATATCATACCTGAAATTTAACAATGATGGTCTACTCTTAACTAACTTTTTATGGATAGTGCAAAGAATACCAATAAGGTCCTCCTACAGGAACCTTTTATTGAAAATAGTATAGGCAATGGTTCAGGTTTGTCCTTTTATTGAAAATAGTATAGGCAATGGTTCAAGTTTGTTCTGGGACGTCCAACATATCGCACTTTATTCACCCGCTCTGATGTTTTTCAAATACATTTTGATGTCATAATTGTCCACGCCGTATCTCAGCTGATTGTGGTATGCTCCTGGTTCACATTCACATAACGGAAACCTACTGATATGATTGTAGTCCAATTGCTTTATTGCAAAGATTTCAGCAATGCAAGTAAGTAAGTAAGTAAGTAATAACTTTATTTAACGAGGGTAGAGACATTGATTACTGGTCACCCAGTAGTTTTCATAATGGCCCTCCTACAATTAAAGTACTAAAATGTATCGATTGAATGATTGACTACCAATATAATCTACAAACTAAAATTACATTAAGAACTACTATTAATACAATATTGATTGATTTACTACTAATGAAACTAAAAAGTTTTACGAATCTTAAAATGATCAAGAAAAGATGTCATACTACGGTAAAATTTAACTAAGTAATTTTTAAAATTAGTATGAGAGAGTGTCTTTGGTTCGGGATCAAGAGCGTTCCACAAACGGCAAGCGCTTGAGTGAAACGTTCTAAGGCCAGAGTTCCTTTTACAAGCTGGTGTTGTAATATTGTTATTAGAAGCGGATCTCGTGTTATAATTATGGGTGTTACTTATATGTTCAATATATTTATTAAAATAAGCCGGGCAATGTCCTTGATTTATTTTATGAAGCAAATAAAGCTTCCTAATACGTATGATATCATCTATAGGCAGCCAATGTAATTTTTTAAAAAGCTTGACTGAGTTTTCGTGAGTATCAGCATCTAAAATAAGCCTAGCACATCGTTTCTGTAGTCGTAAAACCCTTTGGAGATTACCAACGGTACAGTTGCCCCAGACCGTACAACAATACTCTAGTATTGGCTTGATGAGGGCATTGTATAACATTTTCCTGCAAGCAAAGGTTAAATAAACCTTTGCTCTTTTAAGGAGACATATTCTAGAGTTTAACTTTTTAATCAAACAGTCAATGTGTAAGTTCCATGAAAGGTTTGAGTCAATGACAACTCCGAGCAGCTTTTCCCCTGCCGCTTCCTCTAATTTGCTATTATCGATATAAATTTCCATTGTAGTCTCGCTGCTTTGGGATAGCCTTTGAACAGAACCAATTAGCAGGTGTTTGGTCTTCTTTGTGTTTGGTATCATCCTGTTCAATTTAAACCAAGTGTTGGCCTTGTCTAGACTATTATTAAGAGTGTTTTGAATATCTGTACAATTGGTTCCGCTCGACCAGATAGTTGTATCATCGGCATATATGTCGACTTCAGTGTTCTTTAACAGGAGGGGTAGATCATTCATATAGATAGAAAACAGAAGCGGACCTAAAATGGAACCTTGTGGTACCCCGACTTCAAGATTTAAAGGGCTAGACAACACACCTGAGACGGATACAACTTGTGTGCGGCCTGTTAAGTAAGATCTGAACCAGTCTAGTGTGTTTGTTGCAGTGTGGTATTTATCAAGTTTAGCAAGTAAAATGTCATGGTTGACTAAGTCGAAGGCCTTGCCTAGGTCTAAAAACACAGTACCAACGAGTTCACTGTTGTCCATGGCTTTCAACCAGTTGTCGGTAATATTATGCAGAGCAGTTTCACATGAGTGATATGGGCGGTAAGCGGACTGGTTACTGTATAGTAGATTGTTCGAAGTTAGATACCGTAATTTGTATGCTGCCCAAGAGAGAGCCAAAACCCCGGATAAACACCGTATGCCTTGGCACGCAGTGGACAAAGATGAAATAAGAACATTTATTGCCTTGATTTTAGCAATGGGGCTGGTAAACAAACCCACCATACATAGTTACTGGTCCACTGATGAGATACTTCAAACACCATTCTTCACAAATTGCATGTCAAGGAATCAGTTTACACAAATTTTTAGGTATATACATTTTGTGAACAATACACAATTAATTCCTAGAGGTCAAGATGGATATGACAAACTGGGGAAAATTAGGCCCTTCTTAGAACTAATTAAAAACCGGTTCCAAAGAGTTTATGCCCCAAGCAGGAACCTGTCAGTGGATGAAACCCTTGTGAAGTTTAAAGGACGCCTTTCATGGAGGCAGTATATGAGGGACAAACCAGCAAGATTTGGCCTCAAGGAATTTACTTTGGCTGACTCTGAAAATGGCTATGTGTTAGACATAAATGTTTATACAGGCAAGGAATGTGGACAAGAGTCTAAAGGTTTAGCTCAAAGAGTTGTTTTGAAACTTGTGGAACCATTTTATGGACTAGGATACAACATATTTATGGATAATTACTACACCTCAGTTCAACTTTTTTGAGAAGCTTTATGATCAGGGTCTTCAAGCCTGTGGAACATGTTGGGGGGATCGGATCGGTCTTCCTCGAGATGTGAAGCTTATTTTAGATCAATATAACAAATATTTGTGATTTATCTTAAAGGTCATTTCTTTAGCTTAACAAAAATGACTATTGTTATTATTTGACAGTTTTTTTTGGTTTCAGAGCTGAATTCTTGTGAACGAAGGATTTTTTTAGTGTATTTTTACTGTCATATGTCAACTTTGAGGATAAAGTGAGAAACTTACATAACAAGGGACAGGCATACTTTGTGGATTCACTGTGTAGAAAATTTTGTAAACTTCAAAATGAGCTATGATATTTGAAAATTGACTAAATGTAGCTCAACTTAAAACCATTTATTTACGGTGTTGTCTTTTTTGCGAAAATTAATTACCATACCCATGGGAGTAAAAGGGTTAAAATAGGCCTTTGACAAGAATTTGCATCAAATCCAATTTAAATACTTATCATTTTTTTTTAAACTGATATGTAACTAAAATTAAATTAATCTTACGTTGTGTTTGTGACTTGTCACATAAATTTCTGGCCGCTGAGTAATTTTGTTGGAGCTAGCTTGGAAGTTACAAGAATAATAAGCAACAATAAGCTATATTTTACATGAGGGTGTTCCCGCCCTGAGGGCCCTGAGAAAGGATTTTTTTTCCCAATGATTCTGAAATATTTTTAAGTATTTTAATTCTAATCATAACCTCCCTAGCTATTCACTCAGGTGTGTTTTAGTGGTTTTATTTTTCACTCCTCCTTTCGCGCGTGACTCGCTCTCGCGCTCGCCTCGCGCTTGCCTCCGTTTGACCGAAAAACGCTGAAAAATTGCGCCTGTTCTGCAGATCCAGGCCTCCTCAATGAAACTGAAGGTTAACGGTTTCCTCTTTCTTGTCTTTCTTCACATCATGACTAATGGTAAAAACTAGACCGTAACGCAGCTTTCCTGGTTCCCTCACGAAAAGTGATATGTTCACTCATTTAGATATGGAGTTTATTTAGACAACTCATTTGAGGATCAAAATTGTAAAAAAAATTATCCATTCGTCGGTCTTGCTGTTCAGTTCAATTCAAGGTTTTAATGGGGAAAGTTAGAGGCAAAACTTTTTTTCCGATGTGAAATGCCTTAGACCGCTCTTTAAGAGATCGCCACTTAAATGTTTCCTCTCTCTCCCCCCTTTCTCCCCCTTTCTCCCCCCTCCCCCCCCCATACAAACCATACAAACAAACAAACAAACCTATAGGTCCTTTATCACTTTAGAAATAAGAAAATAGCCAACGGTTTATTTCATAATTTTTATCTTTTAAGGAGCAGGTGTATTACAACTTAATACCAAATGAAGGAGATAATTAATTGAGAGTAAACACTGTAAAATCAAAAACAAAACCAAAAAAACAAAAAAAAACTGCAGCCTGAGTGTAATCCAACTAAACCGTAAAAACTAAATCGAAATTAATGAATAAATAAACAAATGTCATGAAAGCGATCCAATTAAACCAGGTTAGCCCAGGACATCCTCAGTGACAATTATGATCAATGATTTCTTCGCTTGTATCGTCGAAAAAGGGAAAAAATCACCTGATAGTAATCTAATTAGGGCAGATCGTAGCATACCACGCTAAAATCATAAGGCAAGAGAGCATTAATTTACTTTTGTATCTTTTCTTTCATTTCACCTGATTCTCAACAGATTGTAAGTATCTATTTATTGTGTTCTGTACGTTTATCCACTCGTTGATCTTGCTTTCAGCTTCAACTCAATTTTATCTAAAATAGGCATTTTGTTAGTATTTGCGTAGAGATCAACTTGGATATGTATACATTTTAATTACCTGAATTGAAAAATCTTACGCTACACAAACTTATCATTGCGAAAGAACCCATCTACTACACTACTCAATTTTATTTCATACTTAGTCTTGCTGTAAGTTGAGCTCAATTCAACTAAATTTATTTTCCTCCGAGTCGTGTTTTCAGAGATTTGAATTTATAGATATAAAGTTGAATTTCATTGCCTTTCTTTACCGTTTTTCACTTGTGATATTATATTTAGTGAAGCAAAAGAATGTTTCTGAACATATCATGGAATTCTTTGCAATAACTGTCTTTAAATAATGGTTTTAGTACATCACTATGCAATGTTTGACTGATAAGTCACTGAGCTATGTTATGATTAATAATAGAGTAGTAATACTTACAATGGTTCTTATCACTTAAATTTGTATCATTAATGAATCATTTTAAAGTTTTCCCAATCAATGAAACTATTGGCAGCTTTATTAAAGCAACATAGCGAATTTCTGAAATGCAGAAAATTAGGTAACACTAAGAATAGACCATGTTGTTCTAAATGGTGCGCATGGAACTTTCATACCTTAAAATTTAGATAAAGCGGTAGTTAGAAATATATATTAGTTCATAGGTTTTGCATTCAATACTAACAATATTTTCTTTTATCATTATTTCTCTCTATTTTCCAAAATGAAATTAATCTCC